GCTAAGTGTGTGGTGCTGCCCCTACTATTTTTCTGTGAATAATGTACTTAAGTGATTAAATTAAAACTGACAGATAGATGATATATTAGTTATCCATGGCTGCAAAACAAGTAACCCCAAAACTTACCAGCTTAAGAGAACACACATTTATTATCCCACGGTTTCTGTGGGTTGGGAATCCAGCATGCTTAGCTGGATCCTCTACTTCAGGGTGCCTGGCACACCTGTATGTAATCAAGGTGTCGGCCAACACTGGGGTCTCTTCTGAAGGCAGGATTCCATTCCTCAAGGGCTACTGGGCTAAGATCCTCAGTTCTCTGCTGGCTATTGTCTACAGGCCACCCTCAGTTTCTTGCTACAGTTCTTTCCAACAAAGCAGCTAGCTTGCTTCATCAAAGCCAATAAGAGAGCATCTTCTAGCAAGATGGAAGCACAGTCTTCAGTCACCTAATCATTGACGTGACATTCCATCACCTTTGCTGCTTTGCTGTATTCTGTTGGTTCCAAGCAAGTCACCAGGTCCTGCCTACTTTCAAGGGGAAGAATACCAGGAGAGGGGATCCCTGGGGGCCTGCACAGAGGTGGCTCACCCCACACACCAAGCATATCATTATCTTTCTTCCAGCGGCCATAGAAGCACCATCAATCAATCATGTCTCGCTCTCCCACTGAACCCAGAAAAAACTTCAAAATCCTTCCTAGTAGAGGACTCCAAGAGGCCTATTTCCAATTGGTTGGTGAGATAAAGCCAACTTGTCTTCTCTTATTTATCAGTAACCATTCCAAGTAATTGCTATGGAGGAAATACTTAGGCTGCGAATCTAGACAGAAACAGGGATCTGTATTTGGAAACAGAACTGCAACATGGCACGACGGCCATTGTCTGAAAAGTCAGTGAAGAGGAAGCACAGCTAGGGGCAGAAATTGACTGACAGAGTGTTAGAGACAAGGGCTTCACAGAAAGGACCAAGAATCAAGAAATGCACATCCCAGTGTGCAAGAGCCCAGATGAGATCAGACCATATTATGATTAGACACGCACTGGAAGAATCCAGTCCTGACCAGGACAGAGGTTATTCCCTTGACTACACTGAAGAAGAGTAGTTTTATTTATTTATTTATCATCATTTTATTCAATGAAAAATACCAGAGATGAGCACATCGGATGCCATGACCTGTCCTTTGTTGGGGGAGGTGATTAGGTTTGCTTATTTATTTTATTTTTGGAGGAGGTACTGGGGATTGAACCCAGGACCTTGCATATGCTAATCCTGCACTCTTATCACTTGAGCTATAGCCTCCCCCAGATGCTGTGATATGTCTTTTGTCTCAGATTTGGGGATGTCCTGCTGTCTGTAGCAGAGTTTCTCACCTTTTCTTTACCCACCCTCTCTTCACATAAACATAAAAATCTCCTTACTCAGGTGCAAAGGAACTTCTCCACTCCTTCTTCTTGAAGAATCACTCATGGGTTGGGGAGGGACAAAATAGGAATTGGGAATTAACAGATACACATTACTAAATATAAAATAAGTAAACAAAAGGGATCTACTGTATGGCACAGGGAACCATATTCAGTATCTTGTAATAACCTATAATGGAAAAGAACATGAAAAAGAATATATGTATGTATAACTGACTCACTTTGCTGTACACCTGAAACTCTAGAAATCACATATACTTCATTTTTTTTTAAAAAAAAGATGTTAAAAAAAATCTCGTATCTCTGCATATTTTATTCCTACCACACCGTAGTACCTTCTCACTTTTAATAAATCCTTTTGTGTGTGTCCACACCAGCTTAGGTCTCCTAAAGGCTTCATCTTTGTCCACAGGGCTTCTTGAAAAAAATAAAAATAGTGATCCTTAAACTGGGGGAATTGTAGTCCCTCAGAAGAATAAGATATTTTAATGATTTATTTTAAAATAATTTCAAACTTTCAGAAAAAACTTCAGTAACAGTTCAAGTTCCTGCATGCTCCTCACTCAGATTCCTCACGTTTGTTTTCCAGAGCCATAAAAATAGTCAACTTTTTGGGCACTCTCCCATGTAGTCATAGTACAGCCATGAAAGAATAATGCTTTAATCCACAGACCTCTTTTGCATTTCAGCCATTATCCCAATAATGTCCTTTACAGATCCAGATCCAGTCATGATCACGTGCTGCATTTAGCTTTCAAATCTCTGACTTCCTCCCACTTGGGACAGTTCCTCAGTATCTCCTTACCTTTTGTGTCTGGACATTTTTTAAGAGTACAGGCCAATTACTTTGTAGAACATCCCTCAGTTTGAGTTTGTCTAAATGCTCCCCCAAGATGAGATTCAGGGTATGCTTTTCAGGTGGAAATATCAGAGAAATGATGCTGTGTTTTTCTCAGTGCATCCTACCTGTAGGGACCCCTATTTGTCCATGTACAGTGTTTGCCATTTTCTCCACTCTGATTTTATAAGTCTTTTGTATTTAGTGATAATTGATGTTTTTAGGGGGATGCTTTGAGACTCTGTGACTGTCCTTTTCCTCATCAGACCTTCCCCCACCAGTTCTAGCCTCCACTGATGATTCTTGCCTGAATCTGGAATTTCTCTGATACTCGCCACAAAGATTTTTAAGGACGACTTTGCATGAATGGTTTTAAAGGAATAATTTCCAGGTTGTCAGCTACTCTCTAGATGCCTCTGAAACTGCTGTGTCTGAGAACATGTGCGTGACATGCTGGTTCCCCTTCCAGAGCCTCACTCAAACTGCAAACTCCTGGGGACACCTCGTGCAGGACCACCAGACACAAAGTGAAGAATGCACCTGGGCTTGTACCAGGGGCCCCAGGTCCCGTCTCTCACTCCCTTTTTCCCCTTTTACAAAAGAAAGGCCCACCTCTCACCCCTCTGAACCTTACTGTGGTGCATTCCCCCAGGGTAAAAAAAATCCAAGACTCCAAACAAAGGAGTGATTCAAAATCTAGCTGTTAGTGTTGAGAAAGTGAGTAATTCTAATGATTGGGTTACAAATCCTTCTCAGTTCTTTGCTTTCAACAAAATTGAAGAAAGATCTGATGGAGTTGTCAGTTAGTAGATCATTAAAAATAATTTTTGATGATAGATCACCATATAATTTTTGGCGAATGACTTGGAAGAGTTTAAAGAATTGAGTGATGTTGCTATAACAGAACTCTTTCCATTCCTACCCACTTAAGTGAACAGAGTTTTTCAGTCCTTACAATTATGATTAAGAGGAAAATAAAAGGAAATAAATTGATGCTGAATCCTGTCTCACTTGAACAATAAGAAATATTCAAGAGTTAATAGGAAGGAAAAGCTCATTCCATCTCATTGAATTAAGATAGACGCTTGCATTAAAATTTGATTTCTGTTTTGTAATCATTTACCAAAGTTTATAACATATTTGGTGTTTTGACCGATTTAGTACCAAAATTCTAATAATAACACAGATGAAATTGTTTAACACTTAGAGCACCAGATTCACAGAAGATACGAAGATTTTACATTTCAACTTGGTTCAAAATCTTGAGGCAGAAAACTGATGGAGTGATTAATAAAAAAGTCTTTTAAACATTAAAATATTTTACATTATAGTAAATTCTGTGCAGTGACTGGAATGGAATCAGAAAAGGAACAATGTGTCAAACCCCTGTGATATTTAGCTTTGCCTGATGAATTTTAAAATGAATAAGTTGTTTTCTGTACCTGTGAGTCTGTTGCTGTTTGGTATAAATTCACTTGTATTATTTTTTAGATTCCACATAGGAGTGATACCATGTGATACTTGTCTTTCTCTGCCTGACTGACTTCACTAAGTGTAATATTCTCTAGGTCCCTCCATGTTGCCATAAATGGCAATATTTCATTCTTTCTTACAGCTGAGTAGTACTCCATTCTTACAGAAAACAAATTTATGGTTACCAAAAGGGAGAGAGAGAGATGGGTAGGGACAAACTAGAAGGATGGAATTAACAAACTCCTATACATGAAGTAGATAAGTAACAAGGATTTCCTATATAACATGGGGAAATATATTCAGTATCTCATAATAACCTCTAATGGAAAATAATCCGAAAAATATATATGTATATATATATGTATAACTAAATCACTTTGCTGTACACCCCAAACTAACACAGTGTTGTAAATCAACTATACTCCAATTTAAAAAAAAAATTGAAAAAAACAATTTTATTTTTACCAACATCAGCATTTAAAGTATGCTAGAAAGTACAGGACTGTTTAACCCCTTATGATGACATATTTTGTCTCTCATTTTTAATATGTGAGGGGAAAATAACTTTCAAAGACATTTTAAGGGTCACATGAGCAACAAGAATATTGCTTAGAAAGACACTTTCCTTCTGCGTGTGTTACAGAATTACTCTGGGGCTTTACCTCCTGTTTTCTACCTTTAACTTCTCATCTAGGGTTTGTCTCCACCTTCCTTCATGAGCCCTCCTCACCCATCACACCCAATTCCTACCCCCGTCCCAGTGGGGCATCACCCCCAGGTCAAAGACCAGCCTTGCTCATGGACTGGAAAGGCTCATCTTCTCAAATTAAAGATTATCCCTTTGGGTATTATATTTATTATACCTAGATTCCTAGAACACGTGGTCCCTCTCTGAGTACTGTCAGGATCTCATGTCAAAGAGGGAAAAACGTGTCCTTGTGGCAAGTCCCCCTTGTCAGGATGCTGTTCGAACGAGGGCCACCTTGCCCGGATTATGTGTACCGTATCAGGCCCACCTGCTGTGGGTAAAACACAACACAGTCAGAGAAAAGAGGAAAACTGATGGCCATTCCTAAATTGCTGGATCCTTGTTAAAATGCGGACTCCTGGACTTGACAAGATCACCTGATTTGGCGGGTGTGGGCTAAGGCACAGGGCACCTTGTTGCAGTTTGTCCCTGTACCATACCTTGAGGATCGCTGCCTTAGAGCACAGTCCTTGATCCTGATGTAGGCCTCTCACATCCATCCTTTTGTTTCTATCCAGGTACTCAGTGTTCCAAAGAGTTCAAATGGATCAGCAAATCAGCCAAGGGTAAGTGAGCTGTTCATGTACAAATTTTGATTTCTACAGTTTATTCCAGCCTGATTATTTATCTCAAATGACTCTGCCTATTATATTTAAAATATTACTTCTAATTGGAAGTACAGTCAAGTGCATACATGATATCAATAGTTGTTCAAGTTGTTCAAGTTTAATTGAATTTAGAATATTGATGCTCCAAAAGACATACATGGATAGGGAAAATAAATTTACAGGAAAAGAGATGTAAATGGTGAACATATTTTAATTGACTTTCTCTAATGAAGTTATTAAAGTATTATGCAATAACATTGTAATAATATTGATGAAAATCCATGGGGAGGGGTGGTAAAATACATACGAACAGGGTCAGGACCATGATTCTTTGATCCTCACACTATTAATGTGTCCATACCTATACACAGTGTTTTAAAATTCTATACTCCTTTAGCTAATAATGTTAACCTCTGTCAACCTACTTTGAGGAAATGCAAGATTGCAAAATTTGTTCATTGTAGAATTGTATATTAATTATAGAATGATAGTGGCAGTAAGCAGAAACAGCTGGCACAAGGGGTTGGTATAGTATCCACTTCTGTAAAATATTGTTGTCAAAACACATTTAATGTTTTTTGTTTGTTTTATTTTTTATTGAGGTATATATTGAGTTGATGTACAAAGCACATTTAATGTTAGGAGATAATGTTCAGGATAGAATGCTACATGGATCCCAGGTTTGTGTGTGTGTGTATGTGAGAGAGACAGACAAGACAGAGAGACCGAGACAGAGAGAAAGAAGAAAGGCAAAGGGAAGGAATCTAAAACACACACATAAGCAGGAAAAAATTAGACAACCATGATGGTGACACTAAAGATAATCTTTATTTCTTGTTTACATTTTCTTTAGCTTTTAAATTCTTTGCAATGCATACATCAGTTTTATAATCCAAAACAGTATTGCTTTCAAAACCGTATGGAAGTGGGTATTCCAGCTTCTAAACTGCTGGTTTTGAGGAAAAGCAGATTTCACGGTCCACTGGCAGTGTATTCGCAGAGTACCAGAGAACCAGTCTGTTCCCCTGGTCCCCAGCCTGTGGACAGGCGGCACCTTGACAGCGAGTGAGACCTACAGGCTGATGCATCTCTCTCCATCTCTCCATCTGTCTTTCACACATACACACACAGTCGGAGGCTATTCTAGCATGTCCCTCGAGAGCCTGCTTCGTTTCCTTTACCCTGAATGACTTAAATGGAGCTGAAGGAAGCTGTTCTTGACCGTGAGTTGATATTAAAGGGTCAGGAGAACCATGCAGTGAGTTTCTTTCATTTATCAGTATTACCATGATTAAATGTCCTCCCTTGCATTATTCATTCATTCAACAAATAGTTTTAAGTGCCTGTTAGACACTCAGATAGTCACTTGAACGGAGACGAAGATGTATTCATGTATCCATCTGTTGAGTCAGTCAGTAAATAGTATTTCCTACAGTACTCACCCGGTGTGTGACGGACGCTGTTCTAGACACTGCCACTACCGTGGGAAATCAGACAGATACGGAGCCCACCCTCAAAGAGCTCAAGGCCCAGTAGAAGAGAGAGAAAAGTCAACAAGGAAATAAAAATAATCACCATTCGCAGTACTGCCTGGGGAGAGTGCCCAGTGTTGCAGCAGAGACTAGCAGTGGTACCGCCTAGATGAGGTGGTCCCGGAGGGCCTCTCGAGCAGAGGACTCAGGTGTGAGCGGAACAAGAAGAAACCAGCCAGAGGGTTGAGGGAAGGAGGGCAAATTCCAAACTGAGACAAGAGAGGATGCGAGAGCCCTGGGAGTAGGGGGCGTCTCCACGGGACGGTCCTCAGCGGGCTCTGAGAAGAAGTGGACAGCCTTTTGCCAGTGTCTTAAAGGTGAGGGTGGAGAGAGGAGGGGACAGGAGATGGCCCAGTGCACGGGTTGGCTGCATAGGACAATCCGTTCTCTGTTGCTGAAGCATTAAGTGTGAGGCAGAGAGGTAGGGGAGCCAGGTAACGGCACACCTCCATTGTCGCGCTGTGGGACACAGGTGTGATCTAGTTGGTAGCGGGACTCCAACAAAGACTTAAGTGCAAGGCTGACTTGGGCTAATTGGTGTTTTAGGAAGATTGTTCTAGCACCTGGTAGAAAATTGATACCCAAGTGAGCATTGAATGTCAAATGGGAAAATAGACCTTCTTTCCTTCAGTCAGTGAAAGTTAGTGAAGGGTTTTCAATAGGAGAAGGACACTATCAGAGGCATGGTTTAGGCAGATTAATCTGTTGGCACAGTGTTAGATGAATTAAAACAGAGAAAGTGACAGTCTCATTTGTCACCAACCCTCAGCAGAAATGTACTTTCACTGACTTTTTAAGTTTTAAGACAGAAGTACGTGTTAGTAACCTCTTGCTGTGTAACAGACTACCTTAAAACGTAGTGGGCTAAAACAACCCACGTTTATTATCGCACAGTTGGAGTGGCTCAGGAATCTGGGCGTGTGTTAATTGGATCTTCTGCTTCAGGGTCGCTCGCAAACTAGAATCAACATATCAGGCAGGATTGGGACTTCAGCTGAAGGTTCAACTGATAACTGATTGACTTCCACACTCGCTTCCATGGTTGTTGGCAGGATTCAGTTCGTCGGGATGGTTGGGCTTCAGTTGCTTGATACGTGGGTCTCTCCCAATGGCAGCTTGTTTCATGAAAATGAGCGAGTTTAGAAGGCAGTCTGCTAGCAAAGTGGGTGTTAGGCATATTTGTAACCTCATCGTGGAAGTGATGTCCCATCACCTTTGCCGCTTTTGTGGGTTAGAAGTGAGTCGCTAGGTCCAGGCCACTCTCTAGGGCAAGGGATCACACAAAGGCATCAATACACAGAGGTGGGGTCACTGGGCACTGAGTTAGAAGCTGCCCACCAGGGGAGCTTAATGAGGATCGTTCCTGGGTGTGTTGCAAATGAGGACAAGGTCTGGGGGGATAAAGCCAGTACTGTTCCTCACCCATGATCTAGTTGGGAAATCATCTTGCTCTCTCCTGGCCTGCCGATTACCGCCCTCATTACCATCACTGCCTGCCATACCGCTGTCATGGTTTGTCCGCTTCTCCTGATGACGAACGCTGCCCCTCTCGAAGTCAGAGCATCTGGGAGTATTTATATACAAGCTGCGTTGGGCTGACCCTCCCTGCTGGAGACAGATTGTTGTGTTGTGAGACGTCTCCTCGCGGGTGCTGTGGATGTCAGTGACATCAGCTGCCTGCAGGAAACAACTGTAAAAGTGAAGGTGAATTCTTAACTCGTCCCTCACTCTTGCAAACAGAGCAGGTCAAGGACTTGCCTCCGCTCCTAGCAGGGCTTCATAAACCGGAGTGCTAGAGGAATGCCTTACTTACACAGGCAGCTCAGAAAATGGTCTGCAGAAAGGTAGAGCTCCGAATCTAGGCTGTGTAAACTGCCGTTCCAGACCAAAGAGAAATTAGGCAAATGGAAATCACGAGAGCTACCACTGTGTGTGTATACTGTGTGCCAGCCAGCGGCGGGGTCAGAACCTGACCTCTGTGATCTCGTGTCAGTTCCCTGACTCGGCCAGGTTAATGCTGTTATCCCCATTTGACAGAGAAGGAGCCTGAGACCCAGAGGGTACAAAGCTCACTCACACTCATAGCTCCGCAGGAGAGTCCTGCGACTCAAACCCTGTCAGTCTGGTTCCCTGGGTTGTCTTTTTTCCCCCCAGCAATTTCTCATTTGCTAATCTCTTGAGAAAGAAATATCCCATCCCCTGTTTCTTTCTTTTTCTTTTTTTTTTTTTTGAAGTATAGTCAGTTTACATTGTTCTGTCAATTTCTGGTATACAGTGTATTGTTTTAGTCATACATATACATAGATACGTTTCTTTTCATATTGGTTTCCCTGCACTCTTAAATTAGGAAACCAGCAATAAATTGTCTTTATGGACAGTCATGTTTTGTCCTGAATTACAGAGAGTCCTCATCAGCCAAGGATAATTTGGGGAGGGGAAGGGGCGCCGGCCTCACCTAGAATAAATCAACCGAAAACAGAAATCAAAATGCCAGCACAAAGAATGGAAGGAAACCATTTTTATTAGAAAAAATATATTTAAAAAAATAAAAGTAAAAATAAAGAAGGAAAGTTTACTTTAAACAAAGTTCAGTCAAGAGTCAGCAAATTTTTTCTGTAAAGGGTCAGATAGTAAGTATTTTTCGGCTTTGTGGGCAAAGAGATGTGTGCTGTAGCTACCCAAGGCTTCAACTGTGTATAAGCATGTCATGTGTACAAGCCGCCCTGGGCAGTAAGTAAACAAATGGGCATTTTTGTGTTCCAGTATTTATTTACAAAAGCAAGTGGTGGGCCAGACTTAGCCCTTGAGCTCCAGTTTTTGGACCCTTGACTTAGGTCATAATTGTAATGTGTACTGAGTCTTAGAAAAAGCAAGAATCGTGTGGGTTTTTTTAAACATAGTATTTCTGATAAGATATATGCCAACATAATATAATATCATCCCTTCCTGTTTGACTTCAGTTTTATCCAAAAAATGTCTATTGTGTAAAACTAATTGAGGGCCTCTTCATTTTCTCAAGGTCTCTCCCGATCCCTGATAGCCAAATACTTATCTTTGGAAAACATTAAGACATTGTCCTTCCGGATTTTCTCTTCTTGGGGTATAAATTTGTCTAGCTCTGCCAGATCCCGATTTCTAGGTGTCTTGACCAGTTCTCTAACGTCTTTTCATCAACTTTGTGAAATCTTGTGCT